TGGTTTTGATGGCACAAGTCAACAGTTGCTGGCAGACATGTCCACAACACGTAAATTTTCTCAGCCGCTGGTCGTAAGGGCGAGTAACGAAGGAACTTCCTAATTCCGGAGTTTTTGAGGTATTTCCTGCTTTTCATTATCCTTCGATCAATTTAGCACCCAAGCTCCTCGATATCGAATTAGATGAGTCCCTACGTGTTATCCCGCAGAATTGCATTTAACACTCCGATGTCCATGCTTTCGTGCAATTGGGTGATCCTGTGAACTCATGCAAACATTGCAAACACTATCGCAGGCGTTGTTCACGCACCTTTGATTGGACCAAAGGTAGTCTGCATGACCGCTCTGACAACGCTCGTTTCTCACCCTCACCCAGACTGCTTAAAGCAGAAGTTCGCGCTCAATTAAGGGGTAATTACGCGATTGAAACGCGAGTATAGAGATGCGAAGTGGAACGACAGTGGAGAGAAACTGAGAAAAAGGCAATAGACAAGGCCGTTAACAAAACCCATTTTTTCCTCTAGCAGTGAAGGAGGTGTCTGCAAAGAGGCACGTACAAGCAAGGTTCCGGAGATTTCAGTCGTTCTATCGGTTGATACGGAAACTAACCTAACAACATTAACAATTGTTTCACACGTTATGCCAGCCACCAACCAGCTTCCGGAGGGAGCGGTCGCGCGATTGAAATGACGGCCCCGGCTTAACGACGTTGTTTCAAAGGTGGAAAGTTGCTGCAATGTGTGCAGCTACCCACACACAACCTGCAAAGCACGGGATTACTTCTCTAAAAGCGTGTCCGAACCGACCTTTGCCTTAAGCAGTGATTACGGATAGTGCAACAGGGTTTATAGGAGGCTAGTGTGGCTCAGTGGTACGCCAGTCGGCGAAAAAAGCGAAGGAGTCCGTCGAGAAAATGCAAAACCCCCTTTTTGGCCGTCGTTTCCACGTCGAATAAACAAGTGACAGCTCAAGAAAGCGCACTTATGAACGAGTTACTGGCATACGCGTTTGTGAGAGCATGCCAATCCACGCCCAAGCAAGTGCTCAGTTGTGCCACTCTGGCAAGCAGGCTCGTCCAAAATCAGCCAAATCTAACTAGTGGGCAGATCGCTTTGGGGCGGAATGTTTCGTAAGTCCTGCTCAGCAACCAGCGCATTATTCGGTCGTGGAAGCGCCACCCTTCGCTTCCTTGGCAGCCAAGTAACTGCTTCGTGCTGATGCATATGCTGTATGCCGCGCGCTCTCTTTTATCGGTAATCGCTGCCTTGAAAGCCTCAAATTGATTCGAAGCCTTCACCGCCTGCTCCACACTATCGTTAGCAGCCAGAATCGGTCTCAAGTTATTGGACAGCCCCATTATTTCATGGTTTCGCCATGTGGCCGTCCAAGAACGGCTCCGTACAAACTTTGCAGAGCTCGGAACTGATTTTTTCTACCATCGAGGCCAAAGCCGCACCTTCTGCCGAGACTTTCTGCCACTTCTGTACGCTTGATTGAACTTTTCTCTTTATCCACTATCTCTGTCGTTAGCGTAAGAGGACAGTTTTCGCAGTGACCACTCCAGATGAGGTTTTATGAGGTTTTATGTCACTACTTACATCCTTAGTCGTGGAAGATTCTCAAACCACAAATGCATTGCCCAACCACTTCTGAAGCAAGATTTTTTCTTGGTTAAAGTAGGATCGGCGGATACACCAAAAGTAGGTGAACGCTGCGTGCTTATCCTTACTCTTTTCTATGGTTATGACCCGACGGGGTAATCGTGGAAGAATTGGACTTCGGAAATAGAGGCAGATAGCTGGTCAAGTACCTATTAACGGTTGCACGACCGATAAGGCCTTTGCCGCAATGCTCCACATCTCCATTATAATAGCAAGGGCAAGCTGTATCCGACCTTATAGGTAGACAGTGTTTAATTAGCTCAATTTTCAAAATTTTCAGCATTTTTTTGAAAAACTCCTTGAGTAGTGAAGTAACCGTTTCACCTTACACTCGGCATACTGTCCTTTCAGGCACCGTGGGCCCGTCTCAAGCGCGCATACATTATACATTGTGGAGCAAGAAATAGATTTGAAAGCTGCTTTATTTTGTCGCTATCTACCAACGGTGTTTACCGTAAATCGACTGTACGAGAGCAGCATGATCGCGTTTTCTAGTTGAGTGTGAAGCGAGACACGAACACTGCCGAGCGAGGTGGGCATGGGCAGTAGGCGGCATCGTTTCCGGGGAGTCCAGGTCCTCCGGGGCCACCAGGCTGTCCATCGCTTCCTGGGTTTCCTGGGGCTCCAGCCTGTCCAGCTGGTCCTTGAGGTCCGGGAGCGCCGGGCTGTCCTGGCTGACCGTTGGGTCCAGCGTTTCCGGGGGCTCCTGGTGCTCCAGATGGTCCAGGTGCTCCGGGCTGTCCACGTCCTTGAGTGCCGTCTTGTCCGGGGGCTCCGGGCTGTCCATCGTTTCCTGGGGCTCCTGGAGCTCCAGAGTCTCCGGGTGGGCCAGCTGGACCGGGTTGTCCATCTTGGCCAGGTGCTCCAGGCTGTCCGGGCTGTCCGTCGGGTCCGGCGTTTCCGGCTGGTCCATCGGGTCCGGGGGGTCCAGCTGGTCCAGCTGGGCACTTGACGCAACCGATGTCTTGTTGTGGGCAGTTGATCGGTGCGTAGGTGGAGGTGACATCCTCACCAGGTGCTCCGGGGGGTCCGGGTGTTCCTAAATAATTTTCCATTGACAATTGTACTATAATTTTAGCCACAAAAGTAGACAAATCGAATTTGGAACTAAAATGAAAGGAAGAAACGACATACCAGGCTGTCCAGGCTGTCCAGGTGGTCCGGGAGGTCCAGGTGGGCAAGTTGGCTTGACGGGCTCGCACTGGCACCAGGCTGGCAGGCCGGAGAAGTCCTGTCTCTTTTGACGGAAGATGGAGCTGAAGGGGTTTGTGCGGGGCTTTGATGGTGGGGTGACGGTGACTTGGAAGTCCATCATCTCGGTCCAAGCAGAGTCGGTCTCAACACGGAACACTGAGACGCCATCGAGCACCTCATCGTGCACCTCGTTGATGGTGCTGTAAAGCGATGGCACGACGATCAAACAGGCGACGATAGCAAGAGTGGAGCAGGCCGAGGCCACGCCAACGATGAGCTTCTCCTCGAACATCTTCAGACTGTCTATCACAGTGCAACCCTCCCTTTTATAGGACTCTTGCAGACATCGGGGCCACGCCTCCGTCGTAAGGCGGCTGATTCGGGGCGTAAGAACGTGACAGTTACGACGATGGCCCGATAGCCTTGGGACTCGTGGCGCGTGATAAAATCTCAGAGTAGTCACAGATTGTACTGTGGACTTCCTCGTTACACTTTCGTCGAACATACTTTGCTAAAGGAATGTTTGAGCTGGGGGCAGTCACTATTACCCATCCGTACCAAAGATCCTCTTGAGCAAGTAACTTTTCCTTTCTCCAGTGTGCAGGGTAACAATCAAAGTGCAGACCGTCAAGGAGCCTATTCGGGTCAGTGTCATCACTACGCATTTGTAGGGTTATTTTGAGAGAGGTTCATGCGCGACTTGGAATTAGTGAATCAGTATTACGCGGCTAAGCAACTTTCTTCTTTTACAACCACACGATCTGGTTGAGGAACTGAAGATTTGATTACAGCATATGGGTTCAGAACTGTGATAGGGGTTCTGGAAGAATTGTATAAAGTGCGAGTTTACGCTATAAGCTTCTGTGACGGGAGCGAGTATGGTAATTCCTGGATGATGTTATTGCCGGCATGTTACACGCGTGAGACATTAACGCCTGCTGCTACAAATAGTAAAGAACGTGCATATTGAAGGCTTTAGTGGCGTTAGGCCATTCTTTTTCGACTTCTCGCCCTAGTGTGGTTCATTTGGAAGACGTTTCCAGGCCCAAAAATTTGCGGTTCAAGTCTGCCCGTGCGATTACTCAGCCAGGAAGGCAGGATCGTGCTTAGATAAATGTATGGTTCTTTATCTATGGAAAGCTTCGTCCTGAACAGGCTGATGTACCAAGTGGGTCGAGGAGAACTATTGAACTTCCGTTTGTCTTTCGTATTTCACTCCGTCAGATGCCGTGTTTTTCAAGTAAAAGCCATGCGCTGGGAGGGTCCGGGCTGGGGAGGTGTCGCATTTGGGTCAGCACTTGGTTTTGTTATGAGACTAGGCCCCTGTCGGAGAGGCTACACTGAAGGAGGTTGGGCAGATTCCCAACATTCGAAAAACCTAAGAGATTATGTTTACAGTTTCCTCTTCAATATTTAGCCACTTCAACGCTAACCACTGAGATATTAGCCGCCATCTAGCTTTACCTGTCCACCCCTTGAACCCTTTGAACAGAATTTGAGGGATTCGAGAATATGTTGAAATCCGCAGAATTTGTTGACCCTGTGCAAGAAAATCGGTTCCTTTTATTGCCTACTTCTGCCCTTACTACTAAAATGATTTCATCACAAAACAAGAACACTGGCGTTAAAATGGACTCGCTCGGCAAGATGGTTCTGCCTTTGCAAAGCCACACGAATTTGGCGAGGCATTCAGATGCACTTTCAGATTTAGTATCGGCAGCGGGGGCAAAACGAACTCAAATGGCGTTCCTAACTGATTAGTTAATGTTAGAGGTGTTCATTGCATCACCGCAGAACTCTATAAATTCAACGCCTAATGATTATTTATTTATAAATTAACTCAGGAGATTGAGGCAAGAAATAAAACACTTGATTGCTAGCTGAACTTTAGCGCAGTGGCTGAGGTGGGGCATGCTACGCTTCAGCAGGGATCAGGAATCTTATCTCGGCCTGGTTTACCCAAATCTTCCATATTATTCCAGCAGAACTCCGGCAGTCTCATTTCAAGAGCTCAGAAACTTTAGCTAAACACAATCTGTCCTTTCACGGCTTGGCCTTGGGAAGTCTTTTCCAAGTAAATGTTAGCTATTATTTCATAAGTGGGTGAGAGCAAATTCATGGGTATTCTTTGTCAGATGGTTTTCAGGCTGGAAGATATCCTCAAACGCTACATGTCTTCTTCCTATAAAGCACAATTAATGCAAGGCCAGAATGATATCTCTTAGCTGAAATGTTAAAAAAGCTCGTCCTCATTCATGGAACTCGTTTCTAGCCGTCACCATGGGGGACACATGTAATGAAACAACAACGGAGCGGGCGAACAACGACGTCTCATTCAACTGTTTTCGCGAGGTGTCATCCTGTTAACCGCGGGTATCATATACTGTTTAAGGAGAATCCGGGTAAGGAACCACCTATTTACTCAGCAAGGTGACTTCAGCGATTCAGGCTAGAAAAGAGCGCGTGGTTCTTCTTTCGACAAAAGAAGTCGCATGGAGCATTCCTGCGATTGAGTTTTCGTACCAGTAACACACGCTACGTACCTTGTTCGTCTGCTCCGGCTAGTAGAATGTTACTCTCAGCACCGTCCCCATACAGCACTACGTTTGTCAGCCATAAATCGACAATCTCGTGAACAAACTCGACGGCGTTTTCGGTTTTGCTTTCACACCTCGGTGAGTCCAAACCCGGGCCTGTGGCGAATGCGGGTTGACAATGAGCGAATTACCCCAGTTGAATCTTAATCTTTGGTCATTTCAAACTTACATTTCGATTTCGCAGTCGCAAGGGGTTTTCACATTTTCTATCCGCAATATTATTTCGTTACGGGTCGGTGTTTTCTAATCGCCTCCCAGACAAGTTCTGGTACCAATCACCGACCCCGGAGGGGATGGAAGGGGTTGGTACGGGATCAGAGACCCAGGATTGATCCAGGAACGCGTTGCGTAGGTAAGCTGCCACTTGCCCAGCTACGCACTTCCGGCCATTCTATTATTAAGTTATGGTTCAAAGTTAATCTGGACTGTTGTTGACGAAGCACATCTTTGGGGACGCGCCACCACACTCTATTTAATTGTTTTGAAAATTGAAGTGACTGGCCTATACAGTGCCATGCAGACACACGGCTATTGCGTAAACAGCATTTGTATCCTCACGTAACAGTTTATAAGCCAGACCTACATGCGCGGAAATTGAAGTGCCTTTGGTAGGCTTGGAAGGATTACGATCCAGGTTTTATCTCGACGCATGCGGCGTAATCTTCCCCTTTTCTGCACATCTCCCTGCCAAATGGCTCAGCGATGATTTACTTTGGTTGCTCACAAAAAGCTGCCAATTTTCCTTCTTTATAAGACACCACTTCCGGAGCATCAGAAGAATTCCACAGTAAAAATAATACGGAGTTAGGAAAAGAATGGAAAATGTATAATAAAGGAAATGTGTGCATTTTACGACGTAAGTAGTGAAATGCCATCACACCTCAATAAAAGCTAGGAGGATTCTCCGATTAACACTTAAGTTAGGTTAGGGCATCTATTGCTCAAAGTTGCAGGTTTACCTAGCAAGTTCTGGATTTCTTCAACTATGATCTGGGCCATAGCAGGTCAGGTCAGCAGACCCAAATAAAGGGTTAAGAATTAGGATCCAGCCTCGACAGTTCCTGTTTGAGACAGCCGAGGATTCAAATTCCATGTTATAGACCCAACTCGAATGCGGAACTAATCTGTTTCCTCATAAGGAAAAAAAAATAAAAAAAAAGAAAAAAAAAAAAAAGATAAAAAAAAAAAATGGACACTCATGTCGTGAGGTGTCGACCGGTCGACCACCGCTTTTTCACTCAGCGATCGCAATTTCCTTGTCGCTGCTGTTAATTTGGGGTCGTTGGGCGGTTCTAGTCGTGTTCATTGAATGTGACTAGTACCGCGTAATTTGGTGTTGTGTAGCTTAACCTGGTGAGGTCTTTCTGTCAAAGCAATCAAAGTGAGTACAGTACACTCCCATCGTTCTTGACAAAAAAAATGCTCGATTTCAAGGCGTTAAGTGGTTTTTATCCCGCTATCACATCGTTGACGCATTAACAGGAATTCGAAGGGCAGCGCAAAACCATTTGGCTTACGAATTCAATTTTCGCTTGTTTCGCCATTCCATACTTTGTTTGGATTTGGAAATGTGGAAACTGGGAAACAATAAACGAATTTTTGCTCATGTTGGAAATCTAATTCAAAAATGCAATCACACTTTGGCGAAAAGGGGTGGGCTAAATCTCGCATCGGAGACCTTCGTTGCTGCCACTAAACTCACCTCAGATCACAGCATGGGTATAAGAGAAGCCGCTCCGTTTGGAACGATTTATCGCAGTCAATTGCAATAGTGCAGTTGGGTGGTTGTGATGGAGGCGTCGCCAAAGGCGTTGGAGCAGTTTGTTGGGCTTCAGATAGTCCCAGGGCATTAAGTTAGGCCTTCCGTCGTGATTGAGCAATCGCTGCGAAGTTTTACAGGCTGATATGTTCATTGAAGCAGCGACCAGGATAACCGCTTGTAAGCCGCTTGTTCTCGCCATCACATTGCAAAATTTTTGCGCAAAGGAAGTGCATGGCGCATAAACCTCCGTGGTTCCCATCACAGAGAGCTTGCTTGGGTCAAAAGGTTGCGAGGGCTTGTTGGGCGAGAACATTCAGGAAATAGGTTCATCTTGCGAGACGAGACATCACATACTGCTATGCAGCCCGTTATCCATGGCCTCACAATATTGCTGATAAGCAAGGCCTGACCTATCCAAAGCAGTTGATTCATCGCTAGCCACTCGTATTTATTTTTTCGCTCCAACTCTTCAAGTCGATTTCCAGCCAGCGCTTGACGTTAAACTCTTTGAGCTCAGTCACAACTTTCGATGCTGTTTGAGTGATAGTCTTGCTGTTGCCAAGAGACAAACCTCGTGTTGAAACAACGAGAAAAGCGCCATTCTGACTCCTTTGTGCGTCATCTGGTCACACTCATCCTATCTCTCATCTGGTTGTTAAGAAGAAAGGATCATTGAAAACCGATTCTGAAAAAAAAAACAGCTCTGCGTAGCGGGTACCGATGTAATTCATCGAGATTTCAAGAAAAGAAGAAATAAGTAACTTGTTAATGCCATCCACCCCCGCCGATCTCATGGGAATAAAAAATTAAAAGCCACGTTTCATGACGATTCTGAAGAGAAGTAGATACTGGGTTTGCTTATCGTGAAATTGCGAGCGGTATCATGCGTAACAAGTATGAAACCCACGAGAGATTCAGGGGTGAATCCAGGTCAGGGTCGGTCTATTTCGTTGCATCAAAAGTTTCACCCCTATGAAATGTTTCATGACGATCTCTTCTTTTTCAAACAAATTTTGCCCAAAAATTGCCGCGACGCGAAAAACAAGCCTCAAATACCCTACATAAAACAACCACCTAGGGGAAGGGGGGGGGGGGGAGGTATATGCGCTAAAACGGCAGAATTTCTCCCGCCGCCGAAACCTCACT